ATTGGTATCTATTTTTATTTTTGAAATTTATCGGTAGCTGCTGCATTTCCCACCCTAGGCTTATACTCGAGTCAATAACTTTTCCAGTTTTTTGTGGTAAAATTAGGTGCCTCGGCTTATATTCGGGTCGGCCTATACTCGAGTATATACGGTAAGTGCAATTTCTTCCAACCTATGAGGAAAAACCCTACAATATAGTAAGAAGGCACATGTGGAGCTGTTCTTTGTAATTTCCAATAAGCTCCATAACACAATTGTTCATTTCTTCAAATAGCTAAACGGTATAGGAACCATTACGCCATCGATCCACTATTGGCACAAGTTTCTGTCTGTCACAGGCATAATCTAAAATGCTTTCACTTACAAAGCTTTTAAAAATTTGGACTACATATAACACTTTGATACTGAGTCACTTCTAAATTCTTCGATTACCTTTAAGACCAAATGCAGCCATACCCTTATTATAATAGTCAGATTCTCGATTTAGCTGTGTGCCGAATTCAAATAGGTAAATATGGAGCAGGTGTTCTTACTGGTTCCTCTACATCAGCTAATTCTGCCAACTGCAAGGAGTTCAATTTTGACTAGTTCAAGGTTGACTCATCGTTCCAAGATCAGTAAAATGAGGATCCAGATTGTTGGGGAAAATATGCTGACTCTGTAAACGGCTTAGACGACTGTAAAGCACTTTGAAGTGACATGTAAATCTAAATGCCATTGCTTATTGCTACATCTGCAGATTTCTTTTTTTTTTTTTTGCATAAACTTCAAAGTTTAAATCAAATTACTTTCCTAAAGCACTGAATTCTCAACTCAACACTCAATAGGGTGGAACAGTACAAAATAATCTTCATTATGTTATATAATTTTACTAATATTCTGAACAATTGTTGCCTGCTGTTAAAAAAGAGGGGAGAAAATTGGGGGAAATTGTACAATGAAATCCATCTTTACAATGACAAGATTAATTGTGGGCACTTTTCATAAATCTCCAATCTGTCAAAAAATATGAAGCTGATCCACAATCATTCTCATTTCTGCTGACCTCATATCACCCAAAACACAAAAGAGAATATGATGAGCTTATCAACACTCACATGTTAATAAGTGAGTGCAAATAAATGTTACTCTACCCACAATCTTTCATCCCTACTGTACACAAAAGGCAAATCAATTCCTAGCAGTATATATGGTTTCCATTATATATTTTTCTAATAGCTTGGGGGGGGGGGGAGTTAGCAAAAGGGAAAGGGAAGTTTAAAATTTTTCCAGTCAGAATTTCATTGTATTTAAAAACTCCAAAGGGTTATGAAAGTAAAATAAAGCATGTCAGCAATTTTATTAACAAATATAATAAAAACTTGTAACACCGTATGGTGACATCCCAGACGGGCATGGATATAAATTTCTCAATACATATTGCAAGTTACTAAGGTGGCAAAACAATGGATAACAGACCAGTTTCAGGAAAAAGACACTGAATTTCAGTGTGGTGAGAAGTTAAAAGAGGGGACCAAATGAGTAGGATAAGTCCAGGGACAAGGAGACAAAATAAGGGGAAAGTTCTACCAATGAGAAAAAAGACCACACAAAATTGTGCAAAGAAAGAAATACTTCAAAAGAAAACACCACCTTTGATATAATTTCCAATGAATCAGAAATAAATCATCTTAGCTTCCCAAAATGAACCAACATCTAAGATTAGACCAAATAGTGTAAATCTTTTGTTTAGAAGTATCCTCAGCTGTCCATCATTCAATGTCCCATTTAAATTTACATCTTGTTTCTAATACCTGAAGCATAAAGGCTGACTTAGTGTTGCCCACAACCACCTCTAGCTGAGAAACACACACTATACTGAGAAAGGGTTGATGGGTAAGCAAAGGTTGCAGATGGCCACAGACTGGCTGATGAAAACACCTCCCATATCCCAAATGCACGTTGTGTAGAGATGCGCATCTTGCATGCTGATTGCTTGATCCAACTTCCTGTTCTGGGCTTTGCTGTTTGAGTGTCCCCTGGCCAGAATGTTAAAATTCAGAGACTCATGAATGCAACAACTAAGCAACCATCTACAAACAACAGACATGTATGTTCCCTCAGGTGCAGTGCTCGATCCTTAAATCATTCGTTATCTGCAAAGCTGCTAGAACACAACTGGGGGAAAAACGTGACAAAGAGCTCTTACCTTTGAATCTTCGCTGCTTACTCCAAGTTCTAATACAGCTTGAGGAGATTTCTGTTTTGCCTGCATGGACTGACCCATCTGAAGGTTAAGTTGCCATCCAACTGTCTCAAGCTACAAAACATATATCATATTGATTACTAATTTGGTAAATAAAGTATGGGGGTATCAACACTGCTTAGGAACAATTGTCAGCCAATATGAAGCACAGAGACTGAAAGAAAAAGAATTCTACCATCTTTCTTCATTTATCTATACCATCTGCCAGGGTACTTTTACAATTAGGTTAAAGAATAAATATTACTTATGATTGTGATAACAACCCCAGAATTAAGTAAACTACAATTCTCATTGTTATTAAAACCCACAAACAACAAATATTTCTTAAAATCCCAGTTACCACTGATATTAACTCCCAAGACCATAAAATGTGACTAGAGTGAAGCTATTGCTGAATAAAGAATGATCTTATTAAATCAGTAGATTTTGTTTTTTAACAGTGCTCCTGTTCCTTTCCAATTTGTGACAGTATTAAATAAATAGAAAGGGGTGTGATTTATTAGCCCTAAAACAGAGTTGGGCCTTTGTATTATGCAGATTATATTGAAATATTTTTAGAAGTATTTTTAGAAGCTAACATCTCAAAAACTTTCATTATTATTGTATGATCTGAATCACTTCTTCTGATAAACTGAATTTCTAAAGCAATTACAAGAATACACAATTTATAATAAACAGGAAAGAAAGACATGTTATAAACTAACGCTAAAATCAACAGCTGTGAAAAGCCTAGTGAAAGAAATGCATCTTGACGTATCTTCAAAAGGCAGAGCAAAAGCTTTTGAAAATATTAGGAGTAATACAGAAGAAGACATTTTCCTAACCATTTTGCATTACAGAAGGGACAGTACAACTTCGTATTAGGACAGGCAGTCCTCTTCGTCAGTTGAACCCTAAGACTTTAAAAGTTAATCTGATATTATGCCTAGAACAAGTTTCCAACAAGTCTTTCAAAATTAGCAAAACATACACTGCATCAATTGGCCTTTCCATATGTTTTTAAAGATATCAATACATAGAATACAACATGTAAGCATGGCATGGATAAATGTGCTGATACATAGAATGGGCCAAAGGGTCAGACCCAACTGAATTGCTGCTAATGATGAAGCAGACCAGAAAACTTTCCACAGTCAAAAATTTTTTTAGACAAATTCCACTTTTTCAGTGCTATGATATTTCTTTTAAAAATGGTTATTCTAAAAACTTGAGAAGCCAGATTTTAGGTCTCTCCCTCTTTAATATACAACCCAAATATTTGGGCAGACTATGACTGAGATGAATAAATCAATTAGAATCATATCCATTTGCACAGAAAACAAATGTTCTATCTAGGTAATCTAATACCATGTTTGACAACATTATTTACTTCCTTAACATAGGATAGCAAAAAAACTATGTGTGATAAGGTTTCCAAAGACCCAGATGAGCAATTCCATCAGTTTTGCATAGCAACTGAACAGCATAATGGATAAGAGAGCACAGTTTAACATCAGAGAATATTTCATTTTACCAACTTCTGCACAAATAATCTTCATAATCAGAAAATCCAGCATCAGTTTTTTTTTAAAAAAAATCTTAATTTTGTGCAATATTGAAAAGCAAGTTATTTCTATTTTTTCATATATATTTTCAACATATTTCTAATGCTGCATTTACATTTCTCAGTGAATTACTAATGCAGTCTTGTACCTGTTGATATAAAAATTTAAAATATCATTTTAATCCATAGCTAAATAGATACTGATGGCAGATAGTATATAATTTGTACAAGCTAAAATACATTAATTTGCTTATAATCATACTGGAACATCACTTTCCAAGCTATCTGCTTAATCCATGTCATGCTGAAATAGTTTGCTATTATTTCCCTCACAGCTGAATATTCTTTATGATAGATTATTTCATCATTTCTTTTAGCTGAGAACAAATAATATACAACATTTATATTTAATTCATACTGAACTGAAAAAGTACTGGAACAATTACATAACTGATTAAGCAGTCAGAGAAAAGGCTTTCAGAAATTTAATAGTCTTACTTTTTAATGCTTGCTTCCCACACATCCCAACCTCCCGCACCGGGTTCTGGAACTAAGCTATGCTTTCAGAATCTTTGATTAATGAACCCTTTGCAACCTGAGGTAGATAGAATGGGTTATCTATTTATTTTATTGAAGGGAAAATTGAATATAATAGACCAATTCAGACCACTTAAGGTTCAAGATATATGGCCACAGTAAAATTGGACAAGGGGTAGCAAAAAAAAAATTGCAAAGAATTAAGCCTCCCAAATAAGAAGTGTTTTCTTAGATAACAATCATAAATTGACATATGTACTAACTACTTATCAGAATCAAGTTTGAAAGATAAGTTTTTTTAGAAATGTATTATTTCTCCTTCTAAGTATAATTACAAAACATCAATTGCTTTCCAGAAATGAGTACTTGATAATATAGAATGGAAGAGTGACGTACTGTAGGCAGAGTTTAACTTTAAGAAGCATATGTTTTTCCTCCTTTAAAGAATCTGCATACTGCATCACTGGTTAAAAATAGTAGTGTGCATACACTTTATTTATTGTTTAGTTATTTGTTTTATTAAAATCTAAGTGGTGTGCTAAGGCATAAAGTATTAGGCCATAAAGTATGTATGCAGTTTGTCTGTCTGTTTATGTATCTACGAATGTATGTACTATGAACAATGCTCCACAAGAAATAAATGAGAAAATAGCATAGAATCTTAGTATCTGAGGGATTATGAAACATATTGTCACTTATAAATAAACTTGTGGATAGTCATAAAAATAAATGATAGCAAAACAAACATCACTTCTCCCAAGCCCTAACATTTTAATTGCTCTAGTATTTTCTTATATTTAGCAAAGAATGGCTTGTCTCTAACAAAAACAAATTAAGCAATATAGTACAGTAGGATGAACTATGAATCAGGAAGTTCAAATCTTGTCTCTCTGAAAAATTTTCTATAAGGCTTTAAGTAAACTTGATAACTTCAGGATCATCTTATAGAACATGCAGATCATATCCAATTCCAATTTTAAAATAATAAAAATCAGCTTTAAAAATTGAATTAAAAAGTAATGATTTATTAAAGCTGTAGAATCTATGTTTTCTGACTATTTATTTTTCTGGGCCAAATGATTTAACGGATGATTAATTAGCAAGATTAGCGTCTTTGGAAATAATATATTATATTCTGCCTGTGGAACTAAATGTGTAACTAACTAAAAAAAACCTGAGCAGTATACGTAGCATCATTATTGTTTATTCAATATACCATAATGGAAATAAATAATCTGCATTAGTCTAACAGCAGGTGCACTTCTCATAACAATTCATGCCTTGAAGAAAACTCAGAACTAAATCAAGACACATGCAGATAGAGAACAGAAAATATTAAAAAATAATTGTGGCAAGGATAAGGATAAAAAAATATGTAAGGCAGAGGCTCACATACAAAAAAAAAAAAAAAAAAAAACCCACCCCCAAAACCCAAAAGCAGAACGAACCACTGTACAAGATATGGTGCTGATAAAATTAATCAAGCAATTACTTTAAATTACTGGAGAATCAATCTTACCATTCAGGCCCTACACTCTTCTTAGATTGGCCTAAATAGTAGTCCTTTGGTTATGACCCTAATTGGGATCAGAATTTTAAGCAAGCAGTTGTTAAGCAAAACATGTGACCATACCACTTAGCGATGGCAGTCCCAGAAAATCAGATTGTAGTTGTTAGGCCAGGAACACATGGTCATTAAGTTAGGGACCCACGTTTTTTCTGCCCTGCATGAATTGCCTCTGCTTCAACTCCCCCCATGTGCCTATCTCGCATTTCAGTTTTGACACTATTCCACCACCTAACCCTGCTGCCACCACCAAAGCCCCCAACTGAAAGTCATCTTCTTCCTTCTTCAGGATTCAGGCAACGATCAAGGGACCATCCCTGCAATATGTGCGGCAAGTACTGCTGAACAGGGGAAGGCTTTGTAGGAGAATGGCTGGGTCAAGTGAACAGATGGCCTCTGGATAGCCTCTGTTGGCTCTATCTTTTGCTGAACCCCCTTTGCTCTGGATAGCCCTTGCTCTGGATTGCCTCTGTTGGTGCTCCACCCTTTGCTAACAGCCCCCACCCCCCAAGGCCAATTCTCCAGAAGCACTTCCAAAATAAACCGCAGAGCATACATTGCACCTCCAAGAACACTTGTCCCTCCACTTTGTCCAATTCTGCGGTCAGACTCTTGGAGAACACCAGATAACATGATGAGGATATTGTACCTCAACATCCCATTGTGCTCTCCATGGCCTGTGGGCTATCACTTCTGGCCAGGTCCAGCAAATTGCTTTTAGCAGGCAAGGTTCCCCACCCCCATCATCTCACCAAATTCACCAAGCAGTCATTGAATTGTAACTTTAGCCAATGCCCAGAACACAGGTCCACAGGAAAGGGAAGAAGACAGCAAAATTAACTGGTGGCTGCCATGGCAGGAGGAGGTAGAGGAGAGCAGGGTGCCAGAAAGGCAGAGGTGGGGAAAAGATAGGTGGGCAAGGGGAGTTTAAGTAGAGGCAGTTTGCACAGAGCAGAAGATCATGGCTGTGGCATACTGTAACTGGTAAGGAATAATGAGGTCTGGTGAAAAAACAGCTAAATCACATGACTATGAGGATGCTATAATGGCCAGAACATCAAAGACGCATCATGGTACTCGTTCAGCCCCATCAGTTTCAAACAGTCGCTGAACATAGGACAATAATCCGAGGGATTAAATTAGAAGTACTGAAAGTCTTCAAAGCTTGAAATCATCTACAAATTGCTCCAACTCGAAGCCACATGATTACATTTGATATCTCAAATCAGTTTAAGGGAATACTTTGATCCAATTATTCCTTTGAAGCTCCATGAAGCCCTAAGATGACATTGCCAGGGAAGAAAGGGGGGGGGGGACGACAAAAAGTCAGACCAGTAACGTTCTGACTCCAGTAAACATCCTGCCTTCTCAAGAAAAAGATGCCTCCCAAAAGGAATAATGTAACATTATATCTGTATAATTTCTGAAAAATGTAATATAAAATATTCAGAATGGGCCTTAAATCTTCAGTGAATATGAATAACTCTTATGTCCCTAAATTAACAAATTAATGTACTGAGCACTATTTATTGTTATACTCACTTGCACAAAATCAAACCTACTGGCATTTCCTTTTTGATGGAAGATTCGTTCTCAGATAATAAGTTCACTACTTCTCTGCTAAGTTTATTATTTATCTATGCTTTTCTTTTTTTATGTCTACGAGAGATTCTCAATAATTCTGCTCAAGGTTCTCCCAAAGGTGTTTTTCAAAAAGCAACTGGACTTTGGGTTTTTTTTCTTTGAATTACCTTTCCCTTCCCATCCAAGAAGCTTCTTCAGTTCTTCTCTTTTTTATATTTCCCAGAAGAATCAAGATAGGGTTATTTATGACACAATATTTGAAACTTTTACTATGTTATGCAGAAAGCAGTTCAATAAATTCAGCCTCATATATTTGGAAGGTGAAATAATAGATCAGTCATATATTTTATGCTATCACTAAAAAGTTCTGCATTTTATCTAAGCAAGCACAATTATTTTTTCAGAATTGGTGGTGTCAAAAAATAAATAAATTCTCCCAGCCTTTGCACCATACAGTATATCTAGAGCTCACTTCATGACCACAGTTGGAACAGGCAATGCTATCATAAAGTGAAAACCATGTACTACGACAGACCTATATCACTTCCTATTTGGTCATTAAGTGACAGAGAACTCATGACTCTGACTTGCAATTGTACTTTGGACAAAAAGCTGGGGTGTTTAACCTTGTTACTTTGAACAGTCACTAAACAGGCACTCGGTAAGCAAGAACGAACTCCTATGTCTTAATACCTGGTTGCTTATATATAAATCCAGCAAGGGGGAAGGAGGGAAACATGCCCTATTAAGATTTTTAAAATCAACAGAATTCAAAATATTACATATTTACTTTGAAGATTTTTATTCAGTGTGATGAGAAGATTCTTGCCAGTAGAAAAAATGGAAATTATAAATTAAATCTATCTTTTACAACAAATAAATAATTTGCTTTAGAAAAGGGCTTCCTAATGCAGTATTTTACAACACTGAAGTGAAACAACCACTAGCAAAAGTTGTTTATGGCACAATAATAATTAGAGTATCTCATAATACATTATGAGTCAGCCCATTCTAGTCCCAGATGATGTCACTTCTGCACTTAAATAAAATGGTAAAAAGAAAAAAAACATTGTTAGATCTTGGCTCATATCAGGAGCTATTTCTAGTAGTTCTGACACTCCTGACATTAACAGTGCTCTAATTAAGGTGTCAATATGAAGATTAATGCCCTGGATTTCTTCCAATTAATTTCAAGGCACCTATTAACATGACTTCCAGAATTCTCTCTACTTGACAGAAATATTAAAAATGTTATATATTGCAGCCACAAACATTTGATGTCAATTACTAACAGAATACCGCTACCCATCCTCCCCCACCCTCTTCAAAGATACAAACTGCAAGAATGCTCAGTGCTCAGATTACCAAAGAAGAAAAAGCAAAGCTCCAAGATCCTTAATATTGTATGTTGGATTCATTCACAGTATCTTCCAATCTGGAAAAAGATATTAGCAGAAGCTATGCAATCAATTGTTCTTCCTTGCAGCAATTTTTCCACACAATTTTCTACAGCTGGGTTTCCAGCCATGACTTTGGTGGGATGCCTTTATTACTTCTTCACACTTCATGCTTCATGCCTTCACTTGCCAGTTACTGAGCATAGTTCCTTTGGATCAGAGTTTTTAAACTTGACAATTTTAAGTTGTGTGGACTTCAATAATTCCCCAGCAACTATGTGGAAGTTCATACATCTTAAAGTTGCCAAATTGAAAAACAGTGCTGTACATATTTAAGATACTTTCACTTCCAAAAACCTCAGCCAGTGTGAGCCTCATGGGAACTCTGGTCCAACAAATATAGGGAATACCAAAATACAGAAGGGTATGGTATATAAGTATGCATTACATGGAAAGACAATGATTAGGTACCTTTCATTTTGCTCCCACCTTTCCAACTCAGCTCATTTACCATCCTAATTACACTTTAACTGCAGCAGTTTCTTTTTTTAGAATGTAAGTTTTTTTAACTGAGTACATTCTAATTTCTGCCATCTCTTTAATGTATTCTTCTCATGTGCACACTTTTTAAATAGACATAAAAAAAAACTCTAAACCTTCAAACAGTAACAACTAATTAAAATAAGATAAGACACAATGGAGAATAAGGTCCTCAGCAATAAAAGAGAAACCACTCACCAGTTCACACTGCACAGCATGCCTCACTCTAATTGTATATCACACTTCCAGTTTTAAAGCAAATAATAGTTCATCAGGGTGCATTCAAACAGTTTACTTTTTCGCATCGAAGAAAGTTGATTTTTCATTATATATGGTCCAAACTTTGATTTAAATAAATTCTGGGAAATTTTTAAACCCAGTTTCAAGCCATAGTTTGCCTTAAGCTATGATCAAGTATGTCAGACCAACGGAAAAACTAAGCTAAATAATGATTTAGCATTATATCCAAATTATATCCTCTGTTAGATGTTCAACCAGAAACTAAGCTATTCAAAACAACGTGCAAAAACCATCCCTTTACAGAAATTGTTTCAATGTCTTGCTTGATTAATATAAGGTTATATTTATATTAGGAGAGGATTCAATAGAAAAATCTGCTATAAATAAAATAATGGGAACCTCTTCAATATCACAAATATTGTTCACAATGGTTTCTTTTAAGCATAATATGAATTTAAAATTCATAAAGCTGATTTATGGGCAATGTATGTATATCCATAGATATTTTTATGTTGCTTGGCTCTTATTAATAAAATACAGGCTTTTTTTTCCAACAGAAATTTTGGTACATATAGTTATTGGCGGAAATGATGCTCCCTTTCTACAATTCTGTCCAATCTTGTCTGTGCTTAGAAAAAACTCGTATCTATTTTCCTGATTATTTAATGTATTGCACAAATTTCAATCATAATTACCTTATGTGGTGACAAAATTCTTTGTCTAAACTTTTCCACAATTTCTGGACCTGCAACTGCCCATGTGGTAACAAATACTTCTATTTTATCATGACTCAAGTTAGAATGCTGCAGCTGCTGTTGCAAAACAGTCTGTTTCAAGTTGTGATATATGGCCTGAAAAAAAAAGATATCCAATGTATTGTACATACTTTTATAAATATTATTTTAAATGACAATTATGAAGAACCCAGGGAATACCGAACAAGTAGTATCTACTGTGCATATGTGATTTAGGATTTCCAGTAACAATAGAAGCATAAGATTGAAAAATGGAAATTGTTCATTAATAAAATGACCATAAAATAATATCCCTGAAACAGAAAAGCTATTTTTTTTAGAAAAAGAAAAAGAAAATTGATTCTGTGAGGACAAAATGATTTGTATATCATATATAACCACAGATGGCGCAGTAGTTAGAATGCAGTACTGTAAGCTACTTCTATTGCCTGCCGGTTGCCTACAATTTGGCAGTTCGAATCTCACTAGACTCAAGGTTGATTCAGCCTTCCATCCTTCTGAGGTGGGTAAAATGAGGACCCAGATTGTTGGGGGCAATATGCTGACTGTAAACCACTTAGAGAGGGCTGTAAAACACTATGAAGCGGTATATAAGTCTAAATGCTATTGCTGTAAATAGCAGTCTGAAAATTATTGAAAATTATTATTACTAAAACATGACATATAAAACCAAGGATTATGTGACTTGTACATCTGTTCAAATAATTCAAAGCGATTCCAATGATTCCAAGAGATTTTTCTTTGATTTTTCTTTGCTTGAATCTCATGTACACTATATCTATGATCTATATTAAACCATGCTTTAAGACACCACAGTTGTACGTTTGCTTTATATCTTAAGCCTTAAAGAAATAGTTGAAACAACAGCGGGTGGATTTACACATTTAATGACTTTTCTCTGCTTCTGGCTTATCATGTTGCATAAATTCAGCTAATCATGGCTAGTCTGACACATACAGAATTATGTCAGAAATCTAAGAAACAAGATTTGTATTTGTATTTGTATTTG